AATCCTCAGCGATGGAGAAATTTCATGTTGCGGCTAAGAAAGCGTGTTCACGCCGCGGTGTACAATGGCTAGGAAAGCGAGCGCGTGCTTCTCATGGTACTCCGTAGTGACGTAGACTGATGACGTATATAATTGCTTTTGAAATGAATAAGACGTCTCCAGACAGTTTAGGTAAACTAAATAATTCAATAGTAGAAATATTTTGTTTTTGTTTTTATCAAATGCGTACCAGGCTACTAATACGAATTCATGTATTTCTTGTTTGTTTCAAGTGCAAATACATGCCTTATGCCATATAATAAACTTTTTATTAACCTCGTTTGCTCGGTCTTTACCGAGAATTATCCGACCTCGATCTTTTTGTACAAACTTCGCTCTTAATTCGAGCTCGGTCTGTTCAAAAAGACCTCGGTCCGATATTTCTCGGTAAAGACCTCGCGCTCAGTTAATAAGAAGTTATTATTCTTATTATAAAATGTCGGTAATTATTTGGTTTTGTCTCCTTAAATGGCCACGATACGAGGCTGAAACAGATGATGTTGGTTATATATACGGGAGTAAAGTTCTGTGATGTTTCTGTGATGTATACAGTTATAGAAACACGCGTGGGAGTTTGGGAGAACGAGAAATAATGAGATGAGTGGGTTTTCCACGTTATATTATTTATATCCGAAACATCCACAAACTTACAACGTTAAAAATCAAAACTGTTTCAAGATTCAACGGCAACAGGTTTAAGAAAACTTATATATATCAAATCTTAGAAGTAAGAATGATCAAAATTTGCTAAATTTTAATGTTTTTTATTCTATCACCCAACCGAATCTATAGTTACTTTTTATATAACCACAGTTAAACTAATTATTAAAATGTTTGCTATAAATTATAGATACATTCCTAATGATACCTACTTTTTATTTATTTGCGAAAATCGTGTGTATTTCAGCTTTAGGGCTGCGAAATGATTTGTTTTAGTAAACAGTAATAATAATATTAATTCTATCAAACAAAATTGAGGGTTTGTATACGATCTGAAATATAAATGTGGTCTCCCGCTTCATGGTCGTGCGATTTTTGTAATGACCATCAGCACTTCACTTAGTGCAATTACCATTATAAATACGCATCCCACGAGACACTCACATGACATTCTAGCCGCTGATTGGGTGGGTTAAAATTACTATCAGAATTTGTTCTTTCTAGGTTTTAAATCTACATTTCAGTCCATCTGTCCGTTATCCTTCCTGAGAGTGTTGACCATGTAGTGGAATCATCGCTTTGAAGATTTGAGAAGGTACGTTTGTGTCAGTGTTGGTTACGTTCTTCGAATATTAACAGTATGAGTGTCTATTGTATTCTATTGATCGGCACAGTACAGAGCTGTGACGTCATTACGTTCTTCGAATATTAACAGTATGAGTGTCTATTGTATTCTATTGAGTGGCGTAATACAGAGCTGTGACGTCATTACGTTCTTCGAATATTAACGGTATGAGTGTCTATTGTATTCTATTGAGTGGCATAGTACAGAGCTGTGACGTCATTACGTTCTTCGAATATTAACAGTATGAGTGTCTATTGTATTCTATTGAGTGGCACAGTACAGAGCTGTGACGTCATTACGTTCTTCGAATATTAACAGTATGAGTGTCTATTGTATTCTATTAGTTGACCTGCATCTAAGAACGAAAGGGGACTTATAGGCTCATTAATATCATTACCAAGACGTAAGCCTAAGCAAAACCGCTGCTTCCTACTGGTTGCTGCTTTTAAATTTGCATGTTTAGGGAAAATGCATGTGTGTTATTGGTTGTGACGAAAGGGGACGAAATCCTAAATAATTCAATGTCGATATATGCATGTCTTTTGTACGGATCAAGTCAAAACGGGTCTTTCAAACTGATAGCTAGATAAATGCATTTATATGGTAGGGAAGAAATACGCAAATATTTATCGTGGCAAGATTGGAATAGAAGATGCGTTCCCCTAACGCTCTTGTCAGATAGATATAGAATGTAGTGTGACTAAATGACCTCGTAAATGTATAATATACATGTATAGTTTATTAGTCGGTGTTTTACAGACCTCGATCAATAATCTGGTCACAGCCGCAAGGGAAAAAGCACATACCACAAATCAGGAATATTTTTTAGACTAGAAATACATGCATGCAGCAACCCCTCGCCCCCGTTAAACAAAATTAGATAATGATTGTTAGAAATTTTATGTTGTTTGGGGGTTTTGGAAGGTATATGGTATCTGATGGTATGTTAGAAATAGAAATTGAGGAAAGTATGGAAATATTTTTCTGCACGTGGAAACACTGTAGTCATAGCAACTCGAAACGGCCGTATATTTTTTAAGAATCAAAGTTTACCCTCACATTTTTGTGAAAAAATGGCAAAAATACGACAAGATTCTTACCTTTTTCAGGAAGTTAAGTTACTCATCTATAGTCAGTGTTATGGTAAATTATTTTAATTATTAAATGCCATGAAATATAACATCAGACGTCTCATACAACGCTTCGACTGGTTTTTGTACGGGAATGTTTTGATTTTGTTTTCTTTTTGTCATTATGAAAACGGAGTTTATAAATAAAATTATAATGTCGTTTATCACATAACACATTTAGATTTATAGTGAAAAACATTTGAGAATATTAAAGTTGTGTTTGCCAACAAAAGAATTACTTTTTAAAGCTGTGCGGGATGAAATATTATCAAGTGTAAAATATTCCGAGTTCATTATACACGGTGAATTCGGTCGAAAATTTGATCTTGTTATTTGTTAAATCGTGAGAAGTCCTGACCTCATTCGAGTTTCCCTCTAATTTAGTAAAAATACATATATTCCATATAATATAAAAATATAAATTTGTAAATTTCATCAATTTTTGCAAAATGACAGTTATTCATTGACGTTTGAAAATACAAATTTTTGTCTCGACCAATCAAGAGCTTAGTAGTTCACACTGGCGCATGCGCAAAACGTAGAAGACCGTCCATGGCGTGAGGTCATTGCATAATGGCGGACAACTTTGATTTCGCATTTGCATATCGTGGGTATAAATATCCGAGCGGAATTAGTACCCTCGCACGGTGCTCCGCACCGGCTCGGGGATCAATAATTTACTGAATTTCATCTATGAAAATCAGTGGCGTAGCCAGACTGACGATTTAGTCCTGCTATGGAAATTTTATTAACATTATTCATTTCTTTAGAAATTCATTGTTTTCACTGTCAACACCAAAATATCAGCATAGTGGGACTAAATTGTCAGGCTGACTACGCCACGAATTAAAATCATTTGCATTTAAGAATTGCTTCACTGCCTATACAACAAACAACAAGTGTGAAAGTAACCATGGAGAACGAAATTGTTGATTTAAATGTCCTATATGTGAACTTAAACAATATATTTCAAGTTTTGTTTACCATCTACATACCTACTGCTACTTTACCGCTTTTTAATGTTCGTATAATTATTGTGTTATGAATATTGTGTTCGGTATGGTGAAAGACTGTATAGCTATCCATATGACAAATGTCATTCCATAATACTGTTCATATTAAAAGTCCCAAAGGCATAATAACGATGGAATATTTGTTGACTAGCTGGCAATAATACAATTTGACTTAAAACGTCTTTCGAGAAATAACGGGGGAAATTTGTAGTCATGCAGATGACAACCGTCAACCAAAGGAATGGCTGCTAATTAGCATCATATCATAAGTTCATAGGAAACAATCTGCATAAAAAATTGTTTTATAGGTCGCATTAGCATATGCACTGACATAGCGAATAAGATCTCGGGATTTTGACGAAAGAACGTTGCATAAATGAATATTAGTCCGCTTTCGTCCTTAGATGCAGGTCAACTAATGAGACTATGTGCACACGAGCGCCGTTTTCGAGCGTTTTCAAAATCGTTTTTGTCCATTTTATTGTTCAAACCTCTTGTCCACACAATCCAAAGGAAAATATACTCAATATGTTAAATTAGCTTCAACTTCTATTGTAAATTGACGGTGTTTGAAACCGTTTTGGCATGAAAACGAATGTGAAAACGCTCGAAAACGTTACCGTGTGCACATAGTCTGAGTGGCACAGTACACAGCTGTGACGTCATTACGTTCTTCGAATATTAACAGTATAACACGATTGCCAGGCTGAGGGGCTGAAACATGACAATTATCAAACACTAAACAGCAAATAAGGCAGATTAGTTTTTCTGAGACTAAATACAGTTTTATTTTAACAAACTCGATCCTTATATATTTTAACAGACTCGAGCGCCTGATAGTACTGCATAGACTTACGAAAATATAATAATCCAGCTTAACTGGTTACATGCTGAGGAAGTACAGCCATTAGTCTGAGAAGAGAAATGTTTTATGGGATGAATTAAGTGTTATTCGTAAAAATAGATTATCGAGAGTCGGCTGAAACAGCGTTTCAAAATTTTTGCTTGCACTAAATGGAATTTATAAAAAAACTTGAATACAAGAGATATTTTCAGAAATTATTTGGCATCAAAATACATTTAGCTCATACCTATCAAACCGTTCACCTTTTGTCGAGTCGAAGTCTTACGAAGTTTCGATTTTGCCGAGAGCAGTCTGGGAACCCAGTGACTTTGATGATATTATAGCTTTTGCTTTATCTAACGACGAATACAAGAGATATTTTCAGAAATTATTTGGCATCAAAATACATTTAGCTCATACCATGTCTATAAATGAGAAAAGGCTTTCAAAATTTATAATATCAAGAAAAATCTCATTTCCACACACAAATAATACAGACGGAATATTTATGGAAATTCTAAAATTAAGTTCATGTGAGTTTGTTATATGGGTGGTAGCAAGTCAGAAACGTTACTCCTGAAACATATGTCTCTTCATAAAATAATTTTCACAAGAAATCCCTTCGTTTAACAAGATTCTTGCGACTTCTCGGTGTAGCCTATATAATTAATACAACCATTTTATTACAGTAATTAACCGTGTCTAATGCCATGGCTTCTGACGAACTACAAGAAAAAGCAAATTTTACAAGACTCAGTAGACTATTAGTTGACAAAGGAACTGAGGCTTTGAGAAATACATTTGATACCATCCATCCACCTGTTAGTCTACCTGGAGTACTGGCTGCAAACAAAACATCTCTTCAAAAGTTAAAACCTCGAGTTATTAATAATTCCCAGTGGGATTTACTGTTTCCTCCGTCTGGCAACCCACCAGATTCCAAAACCTTTGATGTTACATTACTTACAGTTCTACTCCGGAACATTTGTGGTTTTGCACCAACAGGATGGAGTGTAATGCCTCCGGATACTGATAGATCAGAGCAAGCGAATATCACAAGAATCAAGTGTTACAGAAATGAAGTTATTGCACATGTAAGAACAACTCGAGTTGACAATTCAACATTTAAATCTTTATGGAAGAAAATCTCCCAGGCGATAGTAGAATTGGGCGTTTCACAGAGTGATGTCGACGATTTAGGAAAATGTCCTCTTGGGCCTGAAGAAAAAGTGTATGTGCAAAAGCTTAAAGATTGGGAACTGCGGGAAGATGAGTGTAATAAAAAGCTTGCGACAATTGAACGTTCTGTAAATAATGTAACACAAATGGCTGAAGAAAACCGTGACGAAATAAATAAAATCCGCCAGTCTCACATCAATCTTGAAAAAAAATCCCGCACAGAAAGTGATGAAGATTTATTGCGAAAACTTGCTAAGCATAATTTTAAGGGTGAAATTAAACGAAAAGTGAATTTTTTCCTTCCTGGAACAAGAGAGTGGTTGTTAGTGAAAGTTAACGAGTGGTTTCAAATGTGTGACAATGATTCGAGAACAAAGTTAATAACAGCTGGACCAGGATTTGGTAAAAGCGTGTTTGCCGCTAAAATCTGTGAAGATTTTGAGAAGAATGGAAAGCTGGCTGTTTGTCATTTTTGTGATTTCAGTGTTTCAGACCTAAGAAATCCTATGGTGATGCTGCAGTCTCTCGCAAGTCAGATGTGTGAGAATGTCCCTGTTTTTAAAGAGAAGCTTCTTGACCAGTTAAAGCGACCTCATCAAGTCAAAACCCTCGAAGATACATTTCGAATATATTTGCAAAATCCCTTAGATGAATTGGAAATAAAAGAGCCACGTTTAGTCGTGATCGATGGCTTGGATGAAAGTGCTGCAGATAATAAGAATGAAATTACGCATTTGATTGCTGAATATTTTCCTGATCTTCCTGAGTACATCAAAATCTTGGTGACGAGCAGGCCAGAGATTTCCGTTGCTGATCTAAGACTAAGAGAAGATCAAAAGACGAACATTGCGAATGTTAACGCCAACAATAAGACAGATCTTGAACTTTATTTTAAAGAATGTCTTCCATGTTTAGTTGGCAGGGAAATAAATCAAAGTGAAGTGAGCCGTGATTTGCATGAGTATAGCTGGTTAAGAAGGGATGAATCTATTAGTTTACTTTCCATTTTTGTTGCCAAATGCCAGGGCTCATTTCTCTATGCATATCACTTTCAATCTGGCCTAACGGCTCGCTATGATCTTGAGAAGATAACAAATGATGACTTGATGGAGTTTCTCCCAGAAGGTCTGCATTCTGTTTACGAACGATATTTCAAACGCCTTGAAGCCGAGCTTAGCGACATAAAACATGAAAAGTTTGACGTGTTGAAAATTTTGGAAATGCTGGTTGCTTCCGAAGGACCTCTTCCCCTCACTATCGTCGCTCAGGCTTTTGGTTTAGCTCCAGATTGTCGCGACACGAAAGTCATCATCAACAAAATTAATGAAACCGTATCGTGCTTGTTTTACGTTTCAGATGACATGTTAACCGTTTTTCACAAATCCGTTATTGATTGGCTTCTGGCAAAGGGCTACAAAGATCACCAGTATGCTGTCGAGGTCGATGATGGACATAGATCGCTTTGGCCTTTATGCGAAAAGGTTTTTAAAGAAATTAAAGATAAATATGTTAACTCAGGACCTGGGGTGAACTTTACTAATGACGTGGAATACGCTCTGAAACATGGTTTAAAACATCTAGAAAAGTGTGAAATGGAGGAATGTGTGTTTTGGTCAGTTGATGTTATTATCTTATGTTATATGATAACTGTAAGCTATTCAAGTGTATTGCGGCGTTCCTGGCTCAGATTACTGCAATGTTCCTGGATTAAAAACGAAGATGTACGCGCCCGCATTTCGTACCATGTCATTGAATTTGAGTCTTTTGATCTTGCCCTGGGACCCGCAAGGATGAATTACAAAAATTCAAAACAATGTCTTTCGACAGTACTTTCACAATGGTATTTACAAGCGGTTCTTACCCGTTCTCCAGAAGGTTATTTCAGCGATGATGAGAAGAAAATCGCGGAGACGCTACTATCAAACCGTTCACCTTTTGTCGAGTCGAAGTCTTACGAAGTTTCGGTTTTGCCGAGAGCAGTCTGGGAACCCAGTGACTTTGATGATATTATAGCTTTTGCTTTATCTAACGACGAGAAAAGAGTAGCAGTTGTAAGAGAGAATTTTATCCATGTGTTATCCCTACCAACTTTAGTTGAAATTATCAATTATTCAACAAAATTGGTAAGAATTCGATGCTGCACATTTTCTCCAGACGACTCGCTCATATTATTTGGTAAACTGGAAACGGCGTTTAACATTGCTGGAAGAAAGGAAGTTCCATTTTTCCCTGGAAATGAAGAGACGTTCGCGTCCTGTGCATTTTCTCCTAACGGCAAAAGACTTCTACTAGCGACGATTCAAACACCATTAAACTATGGGACGTTGCTAAACAAAAAATGCTGTCGTCGCTTTGTGCTGGATTTCGTGTTGGTTGGTGTTCTTTTAGCATCACTGGGTTATTTATTATTGCAAATTCAGAATCTCGATCTTATCTGGGTTATTCGTTGTGTGTTTGGAACGCCATCACATTGCAAAGAAGTGATAAGCGAAAATTATCTCACAGGGAAAGTGTGAAGCCAGTTGTGTTAAAGAGTAGGAAATGTGAATGATGTTTTCAGCGAGGTTTTGAGCAACCAAATTCTAGACACTTAGAAATAAGGACTGAAAGACTTAGAAAGAAAGACTTTGAAATAAGGTCAAATGACAAAGATGATGAAAAAAGTTGTATAATTTCGTGTCCGTGGATCTGCAAAGGTGTGGAGTGTATTTTTTCTTTGGAAGAATTTTGTTATTCGAGTGACACAGAAAGTATTCCTTTGACTGCGATTGTCGCTTGGAACTATCTTGTTTCTGATCTTCGCTTTTCTTTCCGTGCAATCAAAATACCAACTTTAGAAGATAATCTGTGGCTCTATTCAGATGTTGAAAAACTAATTGTCTTTAAGACATTAGCTCCTAAACAAGAGCAATCCTGTCTGTCACAGCCAACGAAAGTTTATTCGAGTTCGTTTTCTCCTGACGGCTCTCGACTTGCATCCTGCAACTCAGATGGATATATCAACGTATGGAATGTCTATACCAGCCAAGTTCAACAACGTTTCAAAAGCAGTGAATGCTGGTCAAAGTTTTTATGCTGGTGGTCGGAAGATTTCTTGTTTGTGATTAGTGAATTTAACAGAATTCCCAAATTAACGCGATACCCGGTAGATGACAATTTAAAGATCGTGTTTATTCACAGTCAGGTAGTGGCGCTGTGTCATTTAGCTACCTGGTCTGACCGCCCATATTATGAGCTTCGTTTTTCTGAAGGCTTTGTCAGCTTCGCTCTCGAAAGGAATGAACCCGTGAAAGTTCTCGATGTCAGAGATGTTGATGGTCCTGTAATGATCAATTTGCCTGGAATTGAGCCTAAGATGAAAGTGGAAATCTCGCCCGGTGGTGCCTTTATTTCTTGTTGTAATGAGCATGAATGTTATATTTGGAAAAGAAATACCGAAAACCTAACTTCATATGAAGTCTTTTATCACCGTGATGCTGGAAGGCTTGACATATTGCCTTATGTCGTAATTTTCAGTAATGATTCCAGAGTCGCAATAGTCATGCACAGGAGTTTTTATAGGAGTCAGATAATTGATCTGGAAACTGGTGATTCTCAAAATATAACTCCTCCATTCCGGCCCATTTTTTATTTGAGGTCATTTTGTGTTCACAAGAGTGGAATTGTATTAACTTTATCTGATCACCTGATAACATTTTATGACATTTTCTCTGGCGCGATTCTCGACACTTCCTATCAACGATACTTGAAGACTTTTAGGCCAAGCCAAACAATTCAACTTTCCCCAAAAGAGAACGTGCTGGCTTTTCCTGACAACAAAGGTGATATGGTGTTTCTTCGACTGTCTATTCCACCAGATTCTTTGTTGGACGATATTAAGCGAAGTGCAGTTGCTTCGCGGGACGATATTAAGCGAGGTGCAGTAGTCAATCCTTTCTTTAAACGGAATAAAGTCGTCTCGCGGATATAAAAGCAAATATATTTGTTCTTAAAAATAACTGAAATGAACCCGTTCACACGAGGACGAAAACCAATAGTAGAAGACTTAGTTGATAAAGACTTTGTTATGAACGACAGATGTTTTAGAATTGATTTTTCAGTTAGGATATTTCATAATGGATTTAGGGAACAATAACATGAAAAACTCATCAAGAACATTGTTTTCGGGCAGCGGCTAGACTTTGCTTGGAGCTGGTCTAGAATGGAGAAGTAAGACACCTCCTTCCCTCCGTTTGTCTGGGAGTTCACCTTGGGCAAGTGATAGCACTCCCTTGCCTCCCTAACTGGGGTTACAGTTTGTTAAACAAAACAAAGATGATATCTTGAATACATCTGCAAGAAACAAGTCTTTAAACATTGTCACTGATGCCAATGGTGTTGTTTGAGATATTCATTATAGTAGGGATGATTGCAGTCATGTTGGTGGTGATAGTTCTCATCCATGATGGTGGTGATGGTGCTGGTCTCTACGATGGTGCTGATGGTAATTGCGCTGGTTATGAAATAATGGTAGTAATTATAGTAATTAATAGTAACTGTATTATGGTCAAAACGTCTGATGCTGATGAAAAAGAAAAATATCGGAACTACAAGAACTATGTACATTAATGGGACATTTTATTTGCTGCATAGAAAAGGAGATATTTAAAGTCTGAAGAGGGAACTGGAAAATTGTAAAAACTTTTCTGAAATGTAAATAATATTATGTTCAAGACATCTGGGGCCGGTTGTATGAAAGCCGGATAGCGCTATCCACCGGAGAGTGATTTTTTCAATCGCTATAAAATCGCCCGTTGTTTGCTATAACTTTCATTAAATCTTAGTATTCCTAAATCGAGTATCATCTTTAATAATTGTTGGTTCCAAAAATGAAATTTTATCGCTTTTCGAGCATTTTTAGAACGGTTGAAAAAATCACTATCTGGTGGATAGCGCTATCCGGCTTTCATACAACCGGCCCCTGATGTTCATGAGAAAGAAGGTCACGAAAAAAACACAACAATGAATATCTTACGCGTGTTTTAAACGTCGTGTTTTTGGACCAGGAACTGGTCCCCACACGCGGCTAATCTTGTTGTTGTTCTTTTGTTGTTGTTGTTGTTGTTGTTGTTGTTGTTGTTGTTTGTGTTGTTGTTGTTGTTGTTGTTGTTGTTAGGGGGTGACGCTCTTTAAAAAAGCCTAAGGCTCCGTCAATTCGCATCAGATCGCAATAAAACTTCGCACAACTATTCTTAGCGATATTCCCCATCGATTGACGGAATTATAATTTTGATTTTTTCATTTTAAAGAAATTTAGAAGCAACTCAAAATTGTAGCGTAGTAATGCGTATAGATTATATTCAATATTAGTATGCATAACTGAAGCAAGTTCGAATGGCTAAGGCTCCGTCATTTCGCACCAGATCGTGATAAAACTTCACACAACTACCTTAAAGGTTATTCTCTATCGACTTACGGAGTTAAATTTTTGTGTTTGTATTCTGCAGAAGATTTGCAAGCCATGTCAGATTGTAGCGGGAGGCAAATTTTAATATTATTAATATTCATATCCTATGAGTTCAACCTAGAAGGTCGTGTATTTTCGTTGTTTTGTACACAATATATACTCATGACTATAGGACCATTGCGTTAAATGCGTTTCTCTCTAGGGCATTTCTTATTTCTTATTTATTTGTTTAGGGTTTGCCCAGCATACATATACATAAAAAACGACTATAATGACAGTGGCACGGTGCACACAACGCTAGCTCCTCGCCAGCTACAGCGGCATAGATTAGGACATAGATGTGCAACTCGGCATATTTTAAATGTCTTTGTATTGAAGGCAGATGAAAAATGTAGAAAAGCGATAATTTAACAATAACCGCAAGATTGCCTAGGTGCATAGATATTTGAAATTTCATCCTGGAGAGAAAGATTTAATCTATACTTCACCAGTTCCTGGTCCAATAGTACGATCGTACTTGTTATCTTTAATGCGTTCGACATTGTGAATTTAGAAACCCTACAGATAGTCGGTATCATAATTTAATACACTGAAGCTGACTATAGGTAGCTTATTTGTAAACAAACTAACATCAAGTGGTAGGATTTTATGACTTCGAGCGTGCCTGGTCCACACAAGTACACATGACTGGAATATTGCTGAATATTCAAATATTTGCCTACTACCAGCATGTAATTTGTATAGATTTGTAATTTTGTAAACCATTTCATGATTTCACTTTGTTGACTGTTGTTGAAATTCTTATTTCGGTGTTTGTCTTACATCCCTAAAGTTGTCTTGTGTGATATCAACTTGGAGGTAATTATACCAAGTACCAGGGTTGTTAAAAACTAATGGGATGACTGTATTTGGCTGCGTTATTTATCCAACCCTGCCATGAACAATATTCGTCTGGAGACTGGATCAAAACATGGTCTAAGTAAACTTGATATTTGTATCTTTTTTTGTGAACGTTTATGAAAATTTCTACACATTGAAGACAAAATGATTTTTCTGCCAGCATCGGACCGTAGATCAGTTAACTTTTAAAGTGTATTTTGTGAGCTAGTTTGAGGCTGGGATAATTATTAAAATGCTGATGATAAGAGGCAGTCTCCTTTTCAGACAAGATGCAATTTGTGTTCTCAAATTACACCCGTGAGATATTCAAAATCGTCCAGGGACCGCGGAGGGAGAGAGAGGGAGAGAGAGGGAGAGGGGGTGGATAGTTTTATGTTTTGAAAGTTTTCCTCAGTTTTTCTGTTCCCCACGGAATTGCAAGGAATGTTTCAAAACTTCAACAGTGGCTCTGACAGATTTGAATTTTCCTATTGTGGTAATTTCTCCCATGCAGGAATTCCAGCAATGTCGAAACAATTGGAAAAAATGTGGTTCGCTTCCAATCACTTTTTTATTGCCTGGCTTCTTATGGCTGTCCTCCACTTAAGCTGCGTCACACGGTACCGGATCCACTCATCACGACATCTTCGTTTGCCGTTATAAAGCAACGATTATTAGAAAATGATTATTAATTTGATAGATTTGGTATATTTATTCAGGGCTCAGACATTAAAAAACACCGATGTCTTTCATTAGCTTCAAAATTTGACCTGATGGTAATCCGGTACCGTGTGAACGGGGCTTTAAACGTTTTTCATACGCACGTACGCCTACGGAAAAATGCCTCAAATGTTTTATTATTTGTTAAAATTTGCAGAAATCTCTACATTTTCAGAGATAACATGTATAATGATTTAGACTTCCGTGTGTAACGTGCGTATGAAACAAAACACGTACGTGGAAAGCAGTCTTTAGAATAGTAAAAAGGTAAATTATAACAAATTTTTCACATTCGGACTTAATTTTCGCCACTATCAAGAGAAGTTAGAACTGCAGGTTTAAAAAAGCGTAATTTTTTACATTATTCCCCAAGATCTAGATCTTAACTGAACTTCTCGATGCTCTCCCCAATAATTTTAAAGGCGGTATTTTTTGAACAGTTACCCGCAATTATTAGCAATTTGAAAAATATACAAATCATTCAATAATGGGACATAAAAAATGACATCGTTCCAGTTTTGTAACTTCAGTTCGCAGATCCATATAGCTCAGTGGCCACACCCAAAACCTCATCCAGTTTCTGTTTCTCTTTGTATTTCTTCAAAGTCTGTGTTCGTTAATTATTTGTCAAAATGATCGTATTATTGGACTAGAAGCTCCCAAAGTGATCCTGATTCGTCGTGGGTGATGAACGTATTCATTGAGAAAGCTGAAGTTGTTTTAACAAGGTTTATCGACGCAGACAAGTACAAAAACAAAGACATATGGCTTTGCACTAGTCGTGGTAATACAGACTAGACAAGACTAGATTGTCGAAGGTATGTGCTAGATTACTGGTGAGATTTCTCTCATATTTTGATATACGTATGCGTCCTTGTCTATTTTGCTTTAAATTACAATGTTTTGACAGGATGGTTTGTTTTATATTGGTGTTTCACGTAGTATATTGCGCATTGTTGCTTATATATATATTCCTTAGTCAACAAAAATATTCACAATCTGATTTTGCTGGGTACGTGAGAAATTTATTTTTCAACGTTTTGTAGTTAATATCGTATGCAAAATAATACACCAGTCAGCGCTATAGTATTGTTTTGTTTCATCAGTTCCGCTATAAAATGGTCGTATTAAACACATCTAATTTTCAATTTATATAATGCTCCCCTAGCTTTTATAAAAAACTAAATTTTGAAACATTCACTAATTCATATAGACCAGAGTCCAGAAATATCTTTCAGGGGGAATATAATAATTTCATTCATTTCTTACATGTCCATTTTAAACATTTATTCGACCCTTTGTTAGGAAAATTGTTCAGCAACAGATTTGGTTAAAACCATCCTGGAACTGGATAATATATTCTAAGATATTCTTCATGCAACTTTGAATGGTATTAAGTTTTATAGCTAAAACCCACCTGATCATGGTCAAACAATATATGTTATATCAATGCAAATATCACATGACTAAAAGACTGAGATATATTTTACTAAATTTATAAATCATAATTTAAGTTTTCCAATTCTTTTAATCTTACATCCACATGCCATCACATTTTACACTATGTGCATTTATTGTTATGGTTCCTTTCTCATATATGATACCAGCTTGTATACAGCTAATTGATAAAAAGTCATCCTCTGGCTATCATGTTAACTATGTATTTAGACTTCACCATCTGTTCCAACCAAAAGTATTTTAACAAATACACTGGTCAGTCATTGATCAGTCCATCTAGTACAACAATATCTGTCAATCACTGAAATAAATTATATGTCAGTTCAGCAATACTTTAGTTGCAAATATTTTCATTCATGAGGTTGGAACTTAATCAGACCCAATGCAATCCCAGCTAATGTATGACAGAGTTCTCTATGGCTTAGTTGAGTATTTTACATAATGACATTTCATGTAACCTTGGAAATCAATATTTGTCACAGAAACATTATTAGACCAGAATTACAGATTGCAAGTGAAATGTTGCAAGTAAATACTGAGGTGTCGTCTCTAGGGTGGTTGGGTGGTCTTCATGACAGTAATTGTATTTCTTATAAACTTAAATTTGTTTATATTTTCATAGACTGGCCCTGCATTTATGACCATGGTCAGTTTGGTTTATTCAGTGTGATTAACCAGAGGCATTTTCTCTGTAAACCAGAAATCATTAGAACAGTCATTTACGTATTAACACAACGTAAATTCTCAGCCAAGTTAGACGAGCCATTGCGCGTTTATAAAGAAATTTCCAGCTTCCCCAAAACCGTCATGACTGATCCCTGCACAAGATAATATTTTTATTTAATTAAAGTATGATTCATGATGTTCTGTCAACAATGCGTGTGATGAAACCTCTACTAAGACTGAATGAGTGCTTGTGAGGTTTTAAATTACAATCAATTTCCGTATTGGTTTTAATATATCTACCTCGTGAGTATCTTCTGCGAATTTTGGTACATTTGTGATTTGTGTGAAATTTTAGCCATGTATTGAGATAATCGCTTTCATGATTTGAAAAGGTACGTTTATGTCAGTTTAGTCGTTTTTTGAAGAGTAGAAATGATTTTATGTCATCAACACAGTGAAGTCGTCACAGTCGTATAAGGTCTTGCCATAACACAGCGCTTTGTCTGTGGCGCGGTGAAATAAAATTGCAAATTTCGTTTTTTTCTTCCTTTCAATGTTCTTAAAGTGAGGTTTCAGGCGTTTGAGATGTGATTTATGATTCGTTGATTTATGATTCCACATTGCGATAAAAAGAGACATGCTTTTAAATTTTCGCGCATGATGTTAAATTCGTAAACGTAGTTGCTAGTCTATCTGCATGATGGCCAAATATTGGTCTGCATAATGCCGAAATGGTGGCGTTGTCAGTATACTCGTGTGATAGTGATACTTGAAATACATTGCACATTTCTCGCTTCTTTAAACATAAGGAATACAATTCCGAAATTGTTAACTCATCGCCAGAATAATATGATGTTACCGACCTTCCTATGCCATTGGAGTCATATCCTGCAGCAACAAATTTTCAGACTACAGTTTAAGACCCTCGTGTGACTATAGAGACGCATCATCCGTCTGTTATTATAAATACAGGGTATTAACCAGAAAACAGCTCTTGTACACGCGCTTTTTGCCACATAAATATTTTCCAGGATATTTTCCCATTTTCGATGCACTTAAGTAAGGCGTGATTTTGTTTATGTTCGACATATTCGTCTACATATGATTTTGCCCATGTAGATTATCACATTCTAAATTTTGAACTAGTACGTTTGTGATTATAAATGATTTATCAACAACACGGTAAAGTAGACATGGTTGGTTGTATGTGCATGTAGGTGCGGAACAGCGCTGTGGCGTCGTATTGAATAAACTTGCATTATTAAATGCCTGGCACTGCACAGCGCTTCGTCGCGTTGTGGTCTTGTGTGATACTGATACTGGAGAAGTGTATATGAAATGAGAATTTCGCTATCGGGTTTTTTGCATTTTGTAAAAAATTCGTGTTTTTCGATCATAAATATACCGACCTTGTCGAAAAATTCGGACTAGAAGTTTGTGAAATTTACGATTAAAGTTCGATTTTTAGACTCTTTGCTGGCGAAATTCCTAACATTCCATCGCGCGGCTAATGACGTAGGAAGTGTGACACAGCTCGGTCTTTTGATATGTATTACTGCGATGTTATATAGCTGCGTCTATGTAGAATTGGGATTCCGGAGCGATTTTGACGAATCCGCTTTTTGCAATCATGAATTTTAATTTATAGACAGAATATTAATTACAACATGAAGAATCGTAGCAGCCAAAAATGCACTTTTTATGCCGCGAGAGACTATATATACCACATCTTGAGGTTTCAGACGTACCGCATACATACCGCATATTATGTAAAAGTATAACATCAACTATTGTAAACAATGTAGAGTAGTAACTAATACTAGAAAATTGCATTCCTAAAATTAATACGAAATATCCCATCATATTAAGACTGAATATGTAGGATATCTATCTATATTACTGACATCATACCATATTGACATTACACCGCATACGTATGGTATACGCATGGTATACCATAATTAATATTATGGAATTTGTAACTGCTTCAAACGCGATATACTTATTATATAATTTGCGTTCACTCAAAATCACTCGTGATGCTCACATTGCGTGTTTTTGCACTTAAAATAAACCGGAATTTGATTAGTATTTTCTCACCTCTACTTAGAAAACATCAGCTAGAATTGCGTGCTTGCTTTGCGCGACAGACACAGCGACACAGTGCATCTAGTCTTGGCTATCGCATTTCCCTCACGCAATCGGTACAATCTTGCCCTATAAAAACACTGCGTTATGAGTTACTAAGCATTTTGAATTCAACAAGCATGGCTTCCAGCACGAAGAGAGCGAATAGGGGGAAATTTTGCGTCTGCGGAGCTCCTGGATTGCGCAGTTGCATGAATACATATCACGTCGAGGGGATATCGATGCATAAGTTTCCTGCAAATGAAGAACAGAAGAAAATGTGGGTAAAATTCGTGCGAAAACATCGGCTGAATTTTACTCCTACGAGTTCTTCAGTAATATGCTCAGCACACTTTGAGAAATCTTGCTTCGGAACACGATATCACATTGACGTTCCGGACGAGCTGAAAGCAAAGGCCAGATATTTATTAGAAGCGTTTGGACCAACAAAAGATTCGGTTGTTCTCGAAGAATTACCAGCGACATCGCGTACGAAAAGAAGGGTGAGTCTGGAGATATTCTATGCAGCAAAACATTCTTCATTTGCCTATTTAAAATATTATGTCCAAACAGTTGCTTTGTCATAGTCGGTCAAAGCTTTTTTGCAATTTGAATTGAAAGATTTTAGTTACTCTTGATTTTACTTGCTCGTGCAGATATTCCGGGATCAGCTATCTCTATCGACAAGTTGCACAGGTGAATTATGCAGTCCTGAAGCAGGCAAAACAGTGTCATCGGCCCACAAAATAAGTGACGAGTCAAGTGTCGCAATGAGGCAGAAATGTTAAACGTGAGCATGGAGGAGCTTATGCAGAAAACGCGGAGGGGAAACAGAGGGTGACATCTCAGAGACGGGTCATAAATCTCTGCGTATAAATTGTAGCATAAAACAGGAGAGAATTGAAAAGCTTCAGAAGTTGCTATCGAAGCAAAAGAAGCGGAATTTGAAGTTGCGAAAAGAGAATATAAACCTCCAAAAGGTTTGTTGTAACCAATTACTTATATTATAACGCAGCACCATTTTATCTCGTAAAAACATTAACTTTTTCGTTTTGGCCACCTGGTTGTGTTTGATTATTTCACTGATTTATTGTGTTTATCGTTTTAGTCAGTTGAATATTTGCGAAAAGATTTGTCCTATGAAGAAAGTAGCACTGACGAAGCAGAACACGAAACATGTGAAGATGTTGGTATTTTAGACGAAGCATGTCATTTCGATGATGAACTAATGGGGAATAGTTCGGATGATGATTTAAGAGAGGAAACAAAAGATCCAGACTGGAATGCGAACATGGAGGACGAAGAAGCTAACGCATCAGATGATGACGAGCTTGGCGAAACGGAAGATAAAAATACATCGGCCAATATGAGGTTGGTCTTTTTTCATTTATAACATATTACAACAAGCGTTATTCTCTTGAACTCTAAGAAATAAATAGTTGTCTTTCATTTTAGATCGGCTGATAGTGAACCAAAATTTATTGTGTTCTACAGTATGTTGTTTTCACTGTTCCGATTGTTCTGTTTTGAATGCAAGGCACAATCACCAAGTGTTAATGTCAAAATACATGGATCAATGGCAATAGTAGAACAAACATGCAAATCATGCAAAGGTTATACGTGGAGGAGTCAACCATTGGTCCTGGGAAAGTATCCTGCTGGTGATATTTTACTGAGTTTTGCGACCCTGATGTCTGATGTACTAACCCATCTATGCCACCGCTCGTAAATACCTAAATAATCAAGCAGTGAGTCGTTAATTCCACGTTCGCGAATATTAAGGATATTATATACTTTTGTTGTGTATAGCCGAAATCGATAAAAGACTCTATTAGTACTAATTTGTACATATGAGAACATAAATAGCGATGTTGTACAAATATTTACATACTCATTTTGCCGATCTTGTGTCCTGCTTGTTGGCTTATGATATTTTTTTCCCGACTTGTCGGAGAGAAAAGCTCCTGCAGTCTCTAACACTGTCCGGTGTGTGACCACAGCATAGTCCCAATGTTGTGTTATGCATGCTGCGTCGTTGCCCTCATTCGTAAACTTGCCGGTGCACTCGAGAATTTCTTTGCAACATCGATATTCTCTGTGGCGTCCTGTAACAGCTCTACTGTACAATGTCCGCATGTGCACCTTCAAATATACAGACGAATAAGAGGAAAAGGTTGTGGTTAAACAGCCTAAAATAATATTACTTTCATGAAATTACTTTCCATGAGTTAACACGTAAATCTCACTTAAATCTCGATTCAAACGTTTCGCGAAGAATACCGTCTTCGTCCGTTTCGTCTTCCTCATATTCGCTATCTGCCAGTGGCTCAAATTGGTAAGGCTGAACAACAGACGATTGCTCAGTGATGTTGTCTTCATTATCTGATGATCCTTCTGTCTCCGTCTGTGACTCGAAACTTTCGTTATCAGACATTTTTTAGGCACAATATTAAAAAAGCTTTGCGTGATTGCGTGATCTTTGTTATTTTGCTATGCTAAAACACGTCGACGTGTCACACTACATACGTCACAAGGGCCAAAATTCTAGGTACCAGTCTTTCGCCAGTAAATAGTCTCAAAATCGAACTTTAATCGTAAATTTCACAAACATCTAGCTCGAATTTTGCGACAAAATTGGTATATTTATGATCCGAAAAGACGAATTTTTTAGAAAATGCAAAAAACCCAATATGGAAATTTTCATTTCATATACACTTTAAACCTACTATTCTAAGATATTTCAAGTTATCGCCATTTATTTTATTTATACCAAAGACCCTGAATCTTTCGTTCTATATATACACGGGTGCAATTGAAGAGTTTAAGATGTGGGATTAATACTTCGGGATTGACTAATTCAACATTCCCAGAAACGAAGTATTTATTTTATATACTATAAACGACCATTTTTTACAATGAAATGAATAATATGAACTTTCTGCTAATGAAAATGAGTCCCTAAATATACAAATTCCATAACTACATGACACTCGCACGACATTCTAAGGTGCATGGCAGTTTTTAAATTACATTGAGAATTACAAAGTTTTTCCTCCTAGGATTCAAGTCTTCATTTCCGCACATCTGTTTGTTATATTTCCGGGGAATCTTTGCCATGTAGTGGAATTATTGCTTTCAAAATTTGAAATGGTAAGTTTTTGTCACGGCGTTGGTCATATTCTTTCCTTTTTTACGAATACCCATGTTTATTCTATGGCGCGGCACAGAGCTAAATCATTTAATCTTTTAGTAATTTCCTTAAAATTTTAACATACAGTCAATATTTTGAATAATAAATTATAAGAATTCGAGGGTTAGAATTGGGCGTTCTGTATAAAGATTCAATTCAAGATGCTGAAATTTTAAGCCTCGAGGCAAACGAACAATTGAATTAGACACACACATTCTCTGTTTATACATCGACTCTAATATTGTCTGTTTCTAAAATCTTTCCAACGCGGAACAATTTAAAAGTTGGCTTATTAAAAATTGACAAGCTTTAATTCTCAGTCAAACCAAAGCGCGTTTACAAGATTGAAGATTGTTGAAGTTGACAACCAAACAAGTTTATTCGTATTACTGTATGTGTCATCGCCATTCAGAAAACGTGCAATATTTTTCTTGCAAAGAAATTTCCGTGTCTTGTCCAAGTTTCATAAACCGTGGTGTTTGTCAGAAAACTAACTAAACATACAGCGTTGTCTTTCTTTCAAAGCATGCAGTTGAAATTGAAATGACCCTGAATCTTGATAGAAACAAGCAATATTTATGAACCTGGAATCATTATTCATTAAAGATTAAACATACATTCGTGTGAGTTGACCTGCGTATATACAAGGAAATTTAAACCTCGCGTAATATTTATATTTCAATATTTAATATAAAATATTTACCAAATAATGCAAGTGTATCAGAGGTAACCTGCAAAGATGAAATCCAGCCAGCAAACACATGAACACTGAGGCCCCGTCCACACGATGCCGGAAAAATCTGAAAACGTAACGCAAGAATATACTTACGGTTACGCGTACCGTCCACAGTGTGGGGCAGCCAAAAAAGATTTGAGCAACTTCGGTGAAAAATTACATATGTGGTCGCACTTCGCTAGTTACCAGACTGCATTGTGACGTCATGTAAAAATTTTTTAAACCTCAAAAAAACGAACTTTCGTTGCGTAAATTCGTAAATTTTATTGGCCTTATAATGACGTATGAAGTTTGTAGTTAATAATTCAGTCAATATATGTCTTAGTGATTATTAAAAATTGCCGCTTATATACTGTATCTTTACAGTTGATGCATTAGATTGAACTACACAATACCCAATGGACAAGGGAAGAAATAATACTACACAAATACACCAATAGCAAAATAAATCAATTTCATTTCTTGATTAATTGTTCTTCGCCCTATACCTTAAAAGCTATTTAATAGCAGCGTTTCAACAATTCACTGAAACGTGCACGATGCGTAACCTGCACATCGTTTGGTATATTTCAAACTAAATGTTTTGTTCGTATTCTTATTAAGGTTGAGTATTACTTTATGCTATTGTTTGTGTTTGTCTTTAAACCTCGTGAACACTGGTGCGCTTAACACGCACACATAACAATTTTCACGGGCACATTTTACGTGGAAAAAATTGAGATATTCTTCTACTTGTGTATTTGTGTCGGAAAATTGAGCACGAACGACAAAATATGTCAATACTAGGAAATTGCCCCGAGTGATAAGTGTGCAATGTTGACAAGTGTGCGCCAAGCTTAATACTGCATGTCATGCTTCAATAATAAAAAATCAATATCACCTTCCAGTGGATACGTTGTTTAGTCTCTGTGAAGATTTCAATTTGTTTATATTCTATTTCTGCATGTCAGGGAATGCATTCTCAGCTGTTTGGTTCACCCTAATGCTTCATCGTTTGTCATTGTATTTGTCGAGATATTGCCCTCATAACACATTCGGTCCACGTGGTATCATGCACTCAATACCATTTACAACTATCAGCTGGTAAAGGATTCTAACCCATATAGCTAAATAGTACAACCATTTTGTTATATAGTAATTTACTCTGTCCTACGGCATGGCTTCTGACGAACTGCACGAAAAAGCAAATTTTACAAAATTGTATTTGTCGAGATATTGCCCTCGTAACGCATTCGGTCCACGTTGTATCACTCAATACCATTTACACAAGAAATCATTAGATATATGTAGTATATATTTTACCGAGACCCATCTAGTATTAACACCCATTTGTTGCAGTAAAACATCGGACAATGTCATGGCTTCTGTCGATCTGCAAGAAAAAGCAAATTTTACAAGACTCAGTAGACTTTTGGTTAACAAAGGAACTGAGGCTTTGAGAAATACATTTGATACCATCCATCCACCTGTTTGTCTACCTGGAGTACTGGCTGCAAACAAAACATCTCTTCAAGGGTTAAAACCTCGAGTTATTAATAATTCCCAGTGGGATTTACTGTTTCCCCCGTCTGGCAACCCGCCAGATTCCAAAAACTTTGATGTCACATTACTCACAGTTCTATTTCGGAACATTTGTGGTTTTCCATCAACAGGATGGAGTGTAATGCCTCCGGATACTGATAGGTCAACGCAAGCAAATATCACAAGAATCAAGTGTTACAGAAATGAGGTTATTGCACATGTAACAACAACTCAAGTTGACAATTCAACATTTGAGTCTTTATGGAAGAAAATTGCGCAGGCGATAGTAGAATTAGGCGTTTCACAGAGTAATGTCGACGAAATAAAAACTTCATCATTGGGGCCTGAGGATGAAAATTATGTCGAAATCCTGAAACAGTTGAGAAGTATTGAATGCATTTTAGATCATCTGACCCGAGCTTTAGAGGAAAATCGCCGAGAAAGTGATGAAGATATCTTGCGAAAACTTGCAAAGCATAATTTCAAAAATAAAATTAAAAGAAAAGTGAAATTTTTCCTACCTGGAACGAGAGAGTGGTTGTCAAAAGAAGTTGACGAGTGGTTTTGTAACAGTGAGAGTGACTCAAGAATTATGTTAATAACAGCTGGACCAGGATTTGGTAAAAGTGTGTTTGCCGCTAAAATCTGTAAAGATTTTGAGAAGAATGGAAAGCTGGCTGCTTGTCACTTTTGTGATTTCAGCAATTCAAACCTAAGAGATCCGATGATGATGATGCAGTCTCTCGCAAGTCAGATGTGTGAGAATGTCCCTGGTTTTAAAGAAAAGCTTCTTGATCAGTTAAAGCGACCTTATCAAGTTCAAAATCTGAGAGATGCATTTCTAATATATTTGCAAAATCCCCTAGATGAATTGGAAATAAAAGAGCCACGTTTAGTCGTGATCGATAGCCTGGATGAAAGTGCTGCTGATAATAAGAATGAAATTGCGCATTTGATTGCTGAATATTTTCCTGAGCTTCCCGAGTACATCAAAATCTTGGTGACGAGCAGGCCAGAGATTTCCGTAGCTGATCTAAAACTAAGAGACGATCAAAAGACAAGCATTTCCAATGTTGATGACAACAATAACTTAGATCTTGAACTTTATTTCAAAGAATGTTTTCCAAGTTTAGTCGGCAGGGAAGTGGATGAAAGTGATATGAGCTTTGATTTCTATGTGCATTATCCATATCTTTACCGCGTTCGGCGAAATGGAACTATTAGTTTACTTTCCATTTTTGTTGCCAAATGCCAAGGCTCATTTCTCTATGCATATCACTTTCAATCTGGGCTAAGAGCTCGTTATGATCTTGAGAAGATAACAAATAATGACGTCATGGAGTTTCTCCCAGAAGGACTGAATTCTGTTTACGAACGATATTTTAAACGCCTTGAAGACGAGCTTAGCGACATAAAACATCAAAAGTTTGATGTGTTGAAAATTTTGGAAATGCTGGCTGCTTGCAAAGGATATGTTCCCCTCACTTTCGTCGCTCAGGCTTTTGGTCTAGCTCCAGATTGTCGCGAAACGAAAGACATCATCAACAAAATTAATGAAACCGTATCGTGCTTGTTGTACGTTTCAGATGACATGTTAACCGTTTTTCACAAATCCTTTATTGATTGGCTTCTAGGAAAGGGCTACAAAGATCACCAGTATACTGTCAAGGTCGATGATGGACATAGATCGCTTTGGCTTTTATGCGAAAAGGTTTTTAAAGAAATTGTAGAAACTGTTCGGTCAGGACTCGATGTGAAGTTTACTAATGACGTGAAATACGCTCTGGAACATGGTTTAAAACATCTAGAAAAGTGTGAAATTGAGGAAGGTGTGTTTTGGTCAGTTGATGTTATTACCTTATATTATATGTCAACTGTAATCAATTTATATTATTTGCTGCATTTCTGGCTCACAATACTGCAATGTTCCTGGATTAAAAACGAAGAGTTACGCGCCCGCATTTCGTACCATGTCATTGAATTTAAGTCTTTACAACTTGCCCTGGCACTCCTCGAGAAATATTACAACGATTCAAAACAAGTTTATTCGACAAGATTTTCAGAATGGTACTTACAAGCGGTTCTTACCTGTTCTCCAGAAGGTTATTTCAGCGATGATGAGAAGAAAATCGCAGAGACGCTACTATCAAACGTTTCACCTTTTGTAGAGTCGAATTCTTACGAAGTTTCGGTTTTGCCGCGAGCAGTCTGGGAACGCCGTGGCTTTGATGATATTACAGCTGTTGCTTTATCTAACGATTTGAAAAGTGTAGCAGTTGGAATAAACAATTTCATCCATGTGATATCCCTACCAACTTTAGTTCAAATTATGAAGTATTCAACAAAATCGGAAAGAATTCAATGTTGTACATTTTCTCAGGACGATTCGCTCATATTATTTGGTAAACTGGAAACGGCGTTTAGCATTGCTCGAAGAAAGGAAGTTCCATTTTTCCCTGGAAATGAAGAGACGTTCCTGTCCTGTGCATTTTCCACTAATGGCAAAAGACTGGTGACTAGCGACGGTTCAAACACCATTAAACTGTGGGACGTTGCTAAACAAAAATTGCTGTCGTCTCTTTGTGCTGGATTTCGTGTTGATGGGTGTTCTTTTAGCGTCACAGGGTTATTTATTATTGCAAATTTAAAATATGACTCTGATCCGGGTTGTGTTTGGAACGCCATCACATTGCAAAGAAGTGATAAACGAAAATTATCTCACGGGGAAAAGGAGAAACCAGTTGTATTAAAGAGTAGGAAATGTGAACGATGTTTTCAGCGGGGATTTGAGGAACCAAATTCTAAACAATTAGAAATAAGGCTACTTAACAAATATGAAAGAAAATATATAATGTCGTGTCCGTGGATCTGCAAAGGTGTGGAGTGTATTTTTTCTTCGGACGTTTATTGTTATTCGAGTGACACAGAAAGTATTCCTTCGATTGTTGCTTGGAACTATCTTGTTGCCGCTCAGAGAGGGATTTTGATTGCTCAATGCAAAATGACTGCTTTAGAAGATAGTCTGTGGCTGTATTCAGATAATAAAAAACTAATTGTCTTTAAGACATTAGCTCCTAAACAAGAGCAATCCTGTCTGTCACAGCCAACGGAAGTTTATTCGAGTTCGTTTTCTCCTGACGGCTCTCGACTTGCATCCTGCAACTCAGATGGATATATCAACGTATGGAATGTCTATACCAGCAAAGTTGAACAACGTTTTAAAAGCAGTCAATGTGGGTCAAGGTTTTTATGCTGGTGGTCGGAAAATTTCTTGTTTGTTATTAGGGAATTTAACAGGATTCCCAAAATAACGCGATACCCGGTAAATGACAATCTAGAGATCTTGTTTACTCACAGTCATGACGTGGCGCTAGAGAACTTTTCTGAAGACTTGTCTGAATTCAGTCTAGAAGACTTGTCTGAATTCAGGCCAGAGGGCTGGTCTCATTTCCAATATTTAAAGGTTGGTTTTTCTGAAGGCTTTGTCAGTTTGGCTCTCGGACGCTTCAAACCCGTGAAAGTTCTCGATGTCAGAGATGTTGATGGTCCTGTAATGATCAATTTGCCTGGAATTAAGCCTATGATGAAAGTAGAAATCTCGCCTGGTGGTGCCTTTATCTCTGGTTGTAATCAAAATAAATGTTATATTTGGAAAAGAAATACCGAAAACCCAACTTCATATGAAGTCTTTTATCACCGTGATGTTTTAAGGTTTTGCAGTGAACCAGTCGTATGTTTCAGTAATGACTCCAAAGTCGCTGTATTCATCGGCTGTAATGCTAACGTGAGTCAGATAATTGATCTGGACACTGGTGATTTTCAAAATGTAGTTTCTAGATTCAATTCTGTTCATTTGTCCACCAGGTCATTTTGTATTCACAAGAGAGGAATTGTATTAACTTTATTTGATCACATGATAATATTTTCTGACATGGACTCTGGCGCGATTCTCGACCATTCCTATCAACGATACTTGAAGGTTGATAAGTCAATCCAAAGAATTAAAATTTCCCCAAAAGAGACCATGCTGGCTTTTCCTAACTACAAAGGCGATATGGTGTTTCTTCGACTGTCTATTCAATAAAATTCCTTTTTTGAGGATGAGGTCGCAGCTTTTCGCAAGAATGATTTTCATTGGCTGAGCTCTACAATACATTTCTGTTTCAACCAATAGCATAGCTTCGTTCCTTAGAAAGCATAGAAAAGCATTTTCCAATTGGACGAAAGCTTCCGAGAGCTGCGACATGTCCCTTTATTGATGATATTAAGCGACTAGCAGTTCTTAAGCTGCGTCACACGGTACCGGATCCGCTCATCACGACATCTTTGTTTGCCGTTATGAAGCAACGATTATTAGTAAATGCTTATTAATTTGATAGATTTGGTATATTTATTCAGGACACCGCTGTCTTTCATTAATTAACTTTCCAATGTTTCCAGACATTTCCAATGTTCATGACAACAATAACTTAGATCTTGAATTTGATTTCAAGAAATGCCTTCCAAGTTTAGTTGGCAGAAAAGTGAAACGATGTAATCGGGGAAAAAGAAGTAATATTAGTTTCACTTTAAATCTGAGCTAGGAGCTCGCTATGATCTTGAGAAGATAACAATAATGACATGAAGTTTCTCCCAGAAGGACTGAATTCTGTTTACGAACGATATTTTAAACGCCTTGAAGACGAGCTTTAGCGACATAAAACATGAAAAGTTCGATGTGTTGAAAATTTTGGAAATGCTGGCTGCTTCCGAAGGATATCTTCCCCTCACTTTCGTTGCTCAGGTTTTTGGTTTAGCTCCAGATTGTCGCGAAACGAAAGACATCATCAACAAAATTAATAAAACCGTATCGTGCTTGTTGTACGTTTCAGATGATATGTTAACCGTTTTTCATAAATCCGTTATTGATTGGCTTCTAGCAAAGAGCTACAAAGATCACCAGTATGCTGTCAAGGTCGATGATGGACATAGATCGCTTTGGCATTTATGCGAAAAGGGTTTTAAAGAAATTAAAGATAAAGGTGTTCGCTCAGGACTTGACGTGAACTTTACTAATGACGTGGAATACGCTCTGAAACATGGTTTAAAACATCTAGAAGAGTGTAAAATGGAGGAAGGTGTGTTTTGGTCAGTTGATGTTATTATTGTATGTTATATGTTAATATAATGGATTCGAGTGAATTGCTGCGTTTCTGGCGCACATTACTGAAATGTTCCCGGATTAAAAACGCGCCCGCATTTCGTACCATGTCATTGAATTTGAGTTTTTGGAGCATGCCCTGGAACCCATGGAGAAATATTACAACGATGAAACTCAACAACGATGAAAAGTTTATTTGACCATATTTTCACAATGGTATTTAGAAGCGGTTCTTACCCGTTGTCCAGAAGGTTATTTCAGCGATGATGAGAAGACGCAGACGTGCAGACGCTACTATCAAACCTTTCACCTTTTGTTGAGTCAAATTCTTACAAAGTTTCGGTTTTGCCACGACCATTCTGGAAATGCAGTCCCTTTGGTATTATTACAGCTGTTGCTTTATCTAACGATGAGAAAAGTGTAGCATTTGTAACGACAAATTTTATCTATGTGATATCCCTACCAACTTTAGTTGAAATTATGAATTATTATTCAACAGAATTGGAAAGAATTAAATGCTGTACATTTTCTCCAGACGATTCGCTCATATTATTTGGTAAACTGGAAACAGCGTTTAACATTGTCGGAAGAAAGGAAGTTCCGTTTTTCCCTGGAAATGAAGAGACGTTCCTGTCCTGTGCATTTTCCCCTAACGGCAAAAGACTGGTGACTAGCGACGGTTCAAACACCATTAAACTATGGGACGTTGCTAAACAAAAATTGCTGTCGTCACTTTTCGCTTTTGGTGTTCTTTTAGCGTCACAGGGTTATTTATTATTGGAAATTCAGAATCTTCATCTTATCCGGATTATTCGTTTTGTGTTTGGAACGCCATCACATTGCAAAGAAGTGATAAGCGAAAATTATCTCACGGGGAAAGGGAGAAACCAGTTGTGTTTTAAAGAGTAGGAAATGTGAACGATGTTTTCAGCGAGGATTTGAGGAACCAAATTCCAAACAATTAGAAATAAGGCTACATGACGAATATGAAAGAAAATATATAATGTCGTGTCCGTGGATCTACAAAGGCGTGGAGTGTATTTTTTCTGCGGAAGAATTTTGTTATTCGAGTGACACAGAAAGTATTCCTTTGACTGCGATTGTCGCTTGGAACTATCTTGTTGCTGCTTCTGCCTTTTCTTTCCGTGCAATCAAAATACCAGTTTTAGAAGATAATCTGTGGCTCTATTCAGATAATGAAAAACTAATTGTCTTTAAGACATTAGCTCCTAAACAAGAGCAATCCTGTCTGTCACACCGACCGAAAGTTTACTCGAGTTCGTTTTCTCCTGACGGTTCTCGACTTGCATCCTGCAACTCAGATGGATATATCAACGTATGGAATGTCTATACCAGCCAAGTTGAACAACGGTTCAAAAGCAGTCAATGCGGGTCAAGGTAAAAATGCTGGTGGTCGGAAGATTTCTTGTTTGTGATTAGTGAATTTAACAGGATTCCCAAAGTAATGCGATACCCGGTAGATGACAATTTAGAGGTCTTGTTTACTCACAGTCAGGACGTGGCGCTGTATGATTTAGATACCTCGTCAGATTTCATGGACTCTGAGGTTGGTTTTTCTGAAGGATTTGTAATCTCTGCTCTCAAAAGGAACGAACCGTTGGAAGTTCTCGATGTCAGAGATGTTGATGGTCCTGCAATGATCAATTTGCCTGGAATTAGGCCTATGATGCAAGTAGAAATCTCGCCTGGTGGTGCCTTTATCTCTGGTTGTAATGACGATGAATTTTATATTTGGAAACGAAATACCGAGAAACCAACTTCGTATGAAGTCTTTTATCACTTTTATTACTATTCTGAATTCGATGATGATGATGAGGTAACGACTGACGTAAGTTTTAGTAATGATTCCAAAGTCGCAGTAGTCATGGACAGCAGTACCGAGATGAGTAAGATAATTGATCTGAACACTGGTGATTCTAGAAATATGGCTTTGGCGTTCGATTACGATCATGTGTCCACCAGGTCATTTTGTATTCACAAGAGAGGAATTGTATTAACTGTATTTGATCACCTGATAATATTTTTTGACATGTACTCTGGCGCGATTCTCGACCATTCCTATCAACCATACTTGAAGGTTTATCTGGTAAAGCATACAATTAAACTTTCCCCAAAAGAAGACGTGCTGGCTTTTCCTGACCACAAAGGCGATATGGTGTTTCTTCGACTGTCTATTCCACCAAAGCCTTTGTTGGACGATATTAAGCGACGGGCAGTTGCTTTGTTGGACGATATTAGAGAGATTTAGCACGAGGACGTGAACGTCAAAGACGACGTAAAAATGGCGAATAAATGGCGTGATGCACCCAAATATGGACATGCCACGCCATTTACTCGCCATTTTCACGTCGTCTTTGACGTTCACGTCCTCATGCTAAATCTCCCTATTAAGCGAGGCGCAGTAGTCAATCCTTTCTTTAACCGGAATAAAATTGTCTTGCGGAAAAAGGCTTAAAAGACTGCTTTTAGGAAAATATACACAAAACTGTATTTTTTTTTACATATTGACTTACATACGGGCAGCGGCTAGACTTTGCTTGGAGCTGGTCTAGAATGGAGAAGTAAGACACCTCCTTCCCTCCGTTTGTCTGGGAGTTCACCTTGGGCAAGTGATAGCACTCCCTTGCCTCCCTAACTGGGGTTACAGTTTGTTAAACAAAACAAAGATGATATCTTCAATACATCTGCAAGAAACAAGTCCTAAAAAACTGTGACCAATGCCAGTCGTATGATGGTGTTTTTTAAGATATTCATTATAGTAGTTACAGTCATGTTGGTGCTGATAGTTCTCATTAATGATGGTGGTGATGGTGCTGGTCTCTACGATGGTGCTGATGGTAATTACCCTGGTTATGAAATAATAGTATTATTATAGTAATTAATAGCAACTGAATTATGGTCGAAACGTCTGATGCTGATGAAAAAGAAAGATATCGGAACTACAAGAACTATGTACATTACATACATTACATACTATGTACATTACATACTATGTACATTGAAGCCATTGCTTTTTACTTTTTCTGAGTTATGAGCTGAAATACTTGACGCCAAATGTTGAGCTGTATATGAAATTAAAGCTAGCAAAAAGTTATATTTCGTGTAGAAATTTCTAGACTTTAGCTTGAAGGGAAATATCTAAAAAATATTTGAAAATTTTTGCCGGTTTGTAAATGTTTTTGTTTTCTCTAAATATTTTCTTTGTAGTTTAGGTCTTGAAATTTCCACACCAAATATATCCTTTAAATAGCTCTAATTTGACCCACAGCCCAACGCCTGGCGTCTAGCTAACATAGAAAAACTATTTTGACTTCAAGCTAACACAGGGGTGTTTGTCAGGAGTTATCGTTCCAGTTGTATAGAGTTCACTAGTCTGAAGCGGGAACTGGAAATTTGTAAAAACTTGCGTGAAATTTGAATAATATTAAGTTCAAGAGATCTGATGTTCATGAAAAAGAAGGTCACGAAACAACACAACAATGAATATCTTAGGCGTGTTTCAAACGTCGTTTTTTATCTTTAATGCGTTCGACATTGCGAATTTAGAAACCCTACAGATGGTCGGTATCATAATTTAATATACTCAAGCTTAGATTTTTATTTAACACTATAGGTAGCTTATTTGTAAACAAACTAACATCAAGTGGTAAATTAGGATTTTATGACTTCGAACGTGCCTGGTCCACACAAGAACACATGACAAGAATATTGCTGAATATTTAAATATTTTCCTACTACCAGCATGTAATTTGTATAGATTTGTAATTTTGTAAACCATTTCATGATTTCACTTTGTTATCTCTTGTTGAAATTCTTATTTCGGTGTTTGTCTTACATCCCTAAAGTTTTCTCGTGTGATATCAACTTGGAGGTAATTATACCAAGTACCAGGGTTGTTACATTCCTTAAATGAATTAGCGAAACACCTTCATTAGTGTCACAAAGTAAACAAAAACTAATGGAATGACTGTATTTAGCTACTTTATTTATCCAACCCTGCCAAGAACCATATTCGTCTGGAGACTGGATCAAAACATGGTCATGGTCTTTTTTTTTATTATTCCCCAACCAGCTGATCTGAGATCATGACGTCATAAAGCATCTCGACAAAACTGACTTATCATCCGTCTGGTGTAATTTCTCCTTATTCTTCTAACTAATAGCATAAAGGGTTAAATATTCTAATTTACAGGTGGTAAAAAATAAACGTGTTCTAACAAAAATATAGTAAAATTACTTGATATTTTCGAGTGTTGAAGTCATATGCAATGAAGGAAATGATAACTCAGTTTTGTCGAAGACCTGGCTTCTGATTGGCTGATTTTTATATCCTGGAAGGCCTCGATCTTAACAGAATTTCTCGATGCTCTCCATCATTTTTTATAGGACATAAAAAATGATAGATTTTCATATGGGACATATAAATCCAGTTTTCTAACTTCATTTCGCAGGGTCATATAGTTCAGTGGCCACACCCAAAACCCCACCCAGTTCCTGTTCTCTTTGAGTCTGTATTTCTTCAAAGTCTGTGTTCGTTATTTGTCAAAATGATCGTATTCTTGGACTAGAAGCTCCCAAAGTGATCCTGATTCGTCGTGAGTGACCAACGTATTCATTGGGAAAGATGAAGTTGTTTTAACAAGGTTTATCGACGCAGACAAGTACAAAAACAAAGACATACGGCTTTGGGCTAGTCGTGGTAATACAGACTAGACAAGACCAGATTGTCGAAGGTATGTGCTAGATTCCTTGTGAGATTTCTCTCATATTGCGATAAACGTATGCGTCGTTGTCTATTTTGCTTTAAATTACAATGTTTTGACGGGATGGTTTGGTTTATATTGGTGTTTCACGTAGTATATTGCACACTGTTGTTTATATATATATTCCTTAACAAAAATATTCACAATCTGATTTAGCTGGGTACGGGAGGAATTTATATTTCAACGTTTTGTATTTAATATCGTATGCAAAATAATTACACCAGTCAGTGCTATAGTTTTGTTTCACGAGTTCTGCTATAAAATGGTCGTATTAAAACACATCTAATTTTCAATTTATATAATTCTCCCCTAGTTTTTATAACACAGGAAATCAAAAAACATTCACTAATTTATTTAGACCAGAGTCCAGAAATCTCTTTCATGGGGAATAAAATCATTTCATTCATTTCTTGCATGTCCATTTTAAATAAACATTTTATTCGATCCAGTCTTATGAAAATTGTTCGCCAACAGATTTGGTTGAAACCATCCTGGAACTGGATAATATATTCTATTTTTTTTCTTGCTGTCCAAGTTCATATTTTAGCCTTTCCTGCAATATGATTGGCTATGCGAGCAGTCCGTATGAGGCCGTATGGACTGCGAGAGATTTAAAAGCACAGAGCTAACGCTAAAATATGAATTCGGACTGGAAAAAACCCTATTATTTACCAGTTTAGTCAGTCCATATAATGAAATATTTCCCTGGGTCTCAAAACGTCCCTCGGGCTGTTTTTGAGACCTTGGAAAATATTTCTCTATATATGGACCTCCAATGTGGTAAATAACATATATATATTCCTCATGCAACTTTGAATGGTAACTCATAATGAGTTAAGTTTTATAGCTAAAACCCACTATGATCATGATCAAACAATATATGTTATATCAATGCCAATATTATAGGACTAAAACACTGAGATATATTTTACTAAATTTATAAATCATAATTTGAGTTTTCCAGTTCTATTAATCTTACATCCACATTTATTGTTATGGTTTCTTTCTCATGTATAATACCAGCTTGTATACAGCTAATTGATAAAAAGTCATCCTCTGGCTATCATGTTAACTATGTATTTAGACTCCACCATCTGTTCCAACCAAAAGTATTTTAACAAATATACTCGTCAGTCATTGATCAGTCCATCTAGTACAACAATATCTGTCAATCATTGAAATAAATTATCTGAGTTCAGCGATACTTTAGTTGCAAATATTTTCATTCATGAGGTTGAAACTTAATCAGACCCAATGCAATCCCAGCTAATGTTTGACAGAGTTCTCTATGGCTTAGTTGAGTATTTTACATAATGACATTTCATGTAACCTTGGAAATCAATATTTGTCACAGAAACATTATTATGAAACAGACCAGAATTACAGATTGCAAGTGAAATGTTGCAAGTAAATACTGAGGTGTACTCTCTAGGGTGGTTGGGTGGTCTTCATGACAGTAATTTTATTTCTTATAAACTTAAATTTGTTTATATTTTCATAGACTGGCCCTGCATTTATGACCATGGTCAGTTTGGTTTATTCAGTGTGATTAACCAGAGGCATTTTCTCTGTAAACCAGAAATCATTAGAACAGTCTTTTACGTATTAACACAACATAAATTCTCAGCCAAGTTAGACGAGCCATTGCGCGTTTATAAAGAAATTTCCAGCTTCCCTAACACCGTCATGGCTGATCCCTGCACAAGGTAATATTTTTATTTAAAATATGATTCATTACATTCTGTCAACAATGCGTGTGATGGAAATCTCTATTGAGACGAAGCGCTTGTGAGGTTTTAAATTACAATCAGTTTCCGTCTTCGTTTAAATATATCTACCTCGTGAGTATCTTCTGCGAATTTTGGTGCATTTGTGTGAAATTTTAGCCATGTATTGAGATAATCGCTTTCATGATTTGAAAAGGTACGTTTATGTCAGTGTTAGTCGTGTTTTTTGAAGAGTAGAAATGATTTTATGTCATCAACACAGTGAAGTCGTCACAGTCGTATAAGGTCTTGTCACAACACAGCGCTTTGTCTGTGACGCGGTGAAATAAAATTGCAAATTTCGTTTTTTTTCTTCCTTTCAATGTTCTTAAAGTGAGGTTTCAGGCGTTTAAGATGTGATTTATGATTCGTTGATTTATGATTCCACATTGCGATAAAAAGAGACATGCTTTTAAATTTTCGCGCATGATGTTAAATTCGTAAACGTAGTTGCTAGTCTATCTGCATGATGGCCAAATATTGGTCTGCATAATGCCGAAATGGTGGCGTTGTCAGTATACTCGTGTGATAGTGAGACTTGAAATACATTGGACATTTCTCGCTTCTTTAAACATAAGGAATACAATTGCGAAATTGTTAACTCATCGCCAGAATAATATGATGTTACCGACCTTCCTATGCCATTGGAGTCATATCCTGCAGCAACAAATTTTCAGACTACAGTTTAAGACCCTCGTGT